TTCTATATCAGAGAAAAGGATGTTTATGTTTTGCAGTTTTTTTTTCAGTGAGATAACTCACAAAGAAGTTTGTGTTGGTTTTCTGCCTTTCTCTCCTGCTCTGTGTTTCTCACCACTCTTTTTTTCTGTATCTCTGTATGACTGACATGTGGTAACTCAGCAGCATTTAAGTACTCAAGGTGCAGACAGAAGCACTTTGTTCTTGTATGTTGGTTGGCTGGCTCCAACTGGTTTCCGGCCAATCCAAACATGACCTTCACACATAGGGATCCAGTCCATTGGCTCTGGATGATTTTGAGGTTTGGGGGTGCGGGCGATGGGACCAAGGAATGGGGGAATGGAGGTGGTTTTAAAAATGGATGATTGCGTATCAATGGGGTGGATGAAATGAGAGTTTGGAAAGGTCTGCCCATAGGGTAGCAAGATGGGCCTGTGTCCTTGAGTAAAGATTGGGGTTACATTTTGTAATGGTTCTTGTCTGAAAATCAGTTTAAAGTCTCCCGGTATTGTGTCAAAAAAATGAACGTGCAACACTAAGATTGCACCTTCATGGCTAAGGTGGTGATTCTGAATTTTTCAAATTATGATTTCCCATGCCTATTAGCCAGTTTACCTTAAGTGAGTTTAATGAAAACAAGAGTGAGGGAGAAAGAGACATATGTGGATTGTGAGATAGATAGAAAGATACAGGACGACATGCTCCATTGGTGCTGTTAGTGTCACTGTAAACTGAGAAGAGCAACATGAGGGCCTCTGCTGTCTTTATGTGTTAGGACAGACACACACATACAGGATTGTGTGTATGTCTGTTTAATAGAGCAGAACGTTTTCTGTAACAGTTGCTCCCTTCCACTCCAACTCTGGCACATTAAATCACTGCTGCTGGTGCCAGAGACACACTCTCTAAATCTATGCCTGTTGCTTTGCCTTATTGTGCTGGTTTTCATCTTAAGTTGAATTTTATGGTCGTATTTCTCTTTAAAAGTTGGCCTCTAAACTCACTTGTCTTTCTTTCTTTTTCTTTCTTGTGTGAATGTGCTTGCTGTGTCTGCTGATGATTGTCTTTTTTATATACTTGCATGCCTGACAACAAATTTTGGATAAGTTGTATCTCATTTGTTATACTATCTAGCTGTTGTAATTAAACAATATCACAGGACTTCTGGTTACTATACAACACACAGCTATGGAATAAGTTGACTGTGGATAATTTAAAGTCTTTTCTTGTTAGGACTATCCTTGAAGTGAGGTATGAAAGGCCAGTTTTTTTTACCATGCTTGCCAATGTGACTTTATGATACATAGCTGAGGTTTGCATCGTTCATGTGAAAAATAAAGGATGCAGAAAGTTGAGTTATTGCTCAGCTCACTGAGATCGGCTTTCCCAACCAGTACAGTATTTCCCCCCCCTTTGGCAGTAGATTATACTTAAAACATGCCAATTTCAATGCTCAAGATTGTATTACTGTAAATTGTGTTTTTGCAAAATGAACAAATGGGGAAATACTGAACTCTTTGTCTTTTAGCGACTCATTATAGAATCATTAGCAAGCAATGCAAACCAGCAAACTTTATTTATAGAGTAGCACATTTCATGGAAAAAAAACAGTGTGTAGTGTCACAGAAAACCAATAAATTAAATACTGTATACACAAACTACATACAGACGTAAATACAGTTCCTGCTTACAGTTAATACGTACAGTATCTACACAATTGAGCAAACTAGCTGTTTAAACTCAAGTGTTGTCTCAGTCAACATTAAACACCAGTCAGTCAGAATAAAATATTTGTGTTGTGTGGTCTCTGCTCCGTAAACCCTGTTTCTAAATTAGCAGGATTGTAATTATAATTTTTCTTGTTAACTGGAATGAAATGAATACTTATCAAAGTTAAGTTACACATCAGTTTTTCCCCATCTCTCATTGAACACAGTTATGTTCTATGGTTCACGTGCACCTCTGTGTTAGCAGTTACAATACCTTAAATTCTCGTGTGCTTCTCCCACCTCTATAAGGTTTCAATAAGAATGTGAGAACACATTCATTGGGCTTTTATTGCAGGTTAACACTCACACTGCCTCACACACCTCCACTTTTCTCGTGTGAAAACATTCTTCTCAGGTGTGACATTACAGGTGATTTCCTCTCGCTCCTCTCTGACTCTCACTAGTCTTAATATATCTCTACACAGGAAATCATAAAAGTTTCAGTGAGAACTTCTTATTGTTTGGAAAGTTATTTTTATTGTCTCCAAAATGCCTCTGGCTGTAGTGAGTCAGTATTCTCACTAAGACTGCAGGTCACATGAGGAGTCACCAGGGGTGCTACTACCTTATCTCTTGCTGTCTTTATCTGTCTGCCCCTCTCAGCTGAGTGAAACGGTGTTCATTGTTCTGCTTATTGTTGGCAAGGTTTAAGCTAACTGTTTGTAGGTTCTTGCAAGAAAGACAAAAGTGAAACCTCAGCTTATTTAATACAACAAAAAAGATTAATTAAATACAGTAAGTAGTTACTGAGATATCTCAGTACGACCAATGGCACAGTGTCATAAAGCCCAGTTCAGACCAAAGATTTGCGAGAGGACGAGTTGAAACAGGCAACGACTTGCAATGCGCCATCCTGGAGACGGTGTATCATCTATACACAATAACTCTCTGTACCCCTGCTCTGTTTGCAGCTTTTCAGGCTTATTTTGTGGTTGAATATAAGTTGTAGCTTCTTAAAATATGAATGATAGTGATAGCGAGATGCTGACTACAGCTGCATTTGTAGTAGTGATGAAACGTCGAAAAACATAAAACAAGCATCAGATGAACTGTATTTGTAATAAATATGCCACAATAATATGTATAACCAGAGCCAATCAATCAGTCAATGAGAATGTGTGTGTGTGACCCACCGCCCGAAACTGGCACACAGTGAGGATGTAAACAGAGGGCTCGGTGGGAATGATTGGCTGTTGAGGTGATGTGCTTTACATTTGAGAACCAGCTGCCGCCGATTTGACCCACTGAGTTGCAGGTGACACCATCAGCCGGCTTGAGTCACACCGCTGCAACTTCAGTGTTCTAAAACAGTTGTGAATCTTTGGTCTGAACTGGGCTTTGCAGGAGTGTTCCCCTATAACGAGATGTTCAATGACAGAAAATGAAACAGAAACCTAGAGTACCTAATCATTTACCTGAAGTGCCACATCTAACATATGAATTGCATTCTTTCATAGATTAGATGTTGATACAGCGTCCTTCCGCTTTGTGCTAATATGAGGGAAATATTTTCAAATGTCAGTCATCCTTGTGTGTTCATCCCATAATTATGATTGTTGTTGACAGATGCTGAATGCAGTATAATTTGTTTGCTTTGGCAGTTCTCAAGAATACCTCAGTTTGACCTTGAACTACACAGTTTCAAGCTGATCACATGTTCCTGGGTAACCGTGGCCTCATGTATTGCCCTCCTGTGTATTGTAGTTCTATCTTTTTAAAAAAGATTTTAATAAAATCATCAGAAAATGCATGTGTAGTTTGGGATTTCGAGGTTTAATTAAGTCTGAGTCAGTCAAAAATATTTAGCACTGGTCGGGGGGTACTTGGCTGAACAAAGGGGTATGTTAATGAAAAAAGTTGTAAGCTATTATCTGAAATAAGCATGCTAGTCTAATGTCTTTCAGGTAGTAAAAAGAACATACCAGTAGATAAAATTATGTTGTTCATAATAAGGAAATGTAATGTTCATTCTGAAGCTGTGCAGTGACTTAGGTGAAAACTTGCAAAACTCCCATGTGTTCTTGCACCCGAACATACTGCCATCTGTCTCTCTCTCTCTCCCTCTCTGTCCTCATCTGTCCTGCTGTCGTGTTCCTGCTGAAAGAGAAGGGTGCGTTTGCTAGCTGGCGTTGTTGTTATCTGTTTACAAGCCTGTGTTTGTTCAGAGCTTGATCATGTTACAGGACAACCCATGCTAGTCTCAGTCGCCTTCACACACAAACACACACACACACACACACAGAACACACACACACGTACACAGACATAGCCCAACAGTAGTCTAGTTTAGACTGTCAGTTAATCCTTGAGCAGTTGCTGAGGCATCAGTCTCCAGCTGAACTCCGCCCAGGGCTTCTGTCTGGGGACGACTGTTAGGCCTTATAGAATTTCTTAAAACTTATTTTGGTGTTTTGTTTTGATTAAGTTTTTTTTTTTTTTTTTCACTCCATGCTGCACCACTCCTCTTTCGTTTTCTTTATTTGAATTGTTGGCCGTCCTCCCTGCTCCTTATTAAGACAAAGATTCCAGTGCTTTTGGAAAATATGTCCTGATTAATGGTTGATTGGCTGGTGGTGAAGAAGTGTGAAGAGTTCATTTGGAGGATCTTTAGTGTCAATGAGCTACGCTAACGAGAACACTCTGTTAGCAGGAGAGAGATACTGTTCACAAGCCAAACTAAACATTCTCTCTCTTATTTTCCCCTCTGCACTCTCTCTCTCTGCCACTTACTTGCTGTGCTATGTGTCAATCAAACCTCTTTTGCTCTCAGTCAGTCAGTATTTCATTGCTAACACTCTCTGTTACTGTTGATCTCTATGAATTAAATTTTAATTATTGTGAAAGTGTGCAGAACCAAACAGTAGCACAAATGTGATATAACAGTGGAAACATCATGATTATGCAGAGTGTATTAAAACTTTGGCAACAAAACATGATCATGTTTGGGTGAAAATACGACAACAATATTCATACATGAAAATTTCATTTATTTTTACTGATTCCATCGAAAAACAGCATCATAAAAGTCCTAAATCAGTAAAATTCCTATAGAGCGCTTGCTCTTATGTCATTTATCTATGTGTTACATGTCTGTGCAACAGATGAGAGCAGTAATTTAATGTTGTTTTCTCTGCTAATCCAGTTTTCAGCCTGACATTTCTTCTGTTTCTGTGTTTGTGTGCGTGTGTATGTCTGTGCGTGTGTGTGTGGGTTTGCTAAATATGTATTTCTAGCATGATGTGTCGGCCGGAGCTCTGAAGGCAGCATTGGACGGCGTGGTGCAGGAATGTGTGAGCTTTGTCGGTGTGGACATCAACATCTGCTCCGAGACGCTGATGAGGTAGACAACACACGATGACACACATAGACATGTGCTCACAAGCAAGTGCACCCTCTTCTCCTGCTCACACACATTCAGACACACACAGATGCAAATGGTGAAACGGAGATGAAGTGGGGCTTAGACCTCTGACATACTTTCCCTTAGCAGTCACAACATGGCAGAGCTTCATTCACACTTATGCACAGGCACATGCTCGATGCTTTCTCTCTCTCACACACACACATACACATGGCCTGCCAGCTTTCTGTTTAGACTCATGCATCACACCCTGGCCTCACTTACTGGGCCAACTGGAATCAACAGAGGGGATTAAGCAATGCACATACACACACATCACTCTCACACATAGAAATGCACATATATGCACAGTCACAAATATCTCTGATAGTACACCATGCACTCACACACTTGTTTACAACAACATGTACAGTACATATTTATGACTGAGAAGTACAGGAGTGCACACATTTTATGTACACACACACTTGACGTAGATACAAACAGTATAAAAAGAGCTGGCATTAGCTGCAGGGTAGGCATCAGGTCATCTGTTTACCTGTCTGCTCTACAAGTGAGCTTTTTCCACTCCTGAAGTTATGCTACACACACACACACATTAAACACACAGACGTGTTGATGACTGAGGTATTATGGGAGTGTTGACATTGCCGTGTGTTTTAGCATGAGTGAGTCACTGTGGGCATTAACAGAGCAGACCTAATTGAGTTTCAAATCACCTCTCTTCGTTGCTCAGCCAAAACTGGACAAATATACTCACTAAATATTGGTTCATGTGCGTCTCTTGTGAGTGTTGCCCCTGCTTATTTAAATGCCACGTCACGGTCTGCAAAATCTGCTCTGTTTGTTTGTATATTATAGAAATCAGGGGCCAGATGTATAAACGATACATACGCAAAAAAATGTGCATACGCCGTTTCCCACACGTAAACTGGTATTTATGGAAGAAGAATGTGCGGTGAGAATGTCTGTACCACACGCATACTTCAAACTAGGTGATACCGCAATGATGGTTTACTGGTACATGATGCATTAGTGGTATGATCGAGAAAAATAGCCGCAACTGTGTGTAATGGTTAGGCATCTCATTTCAAAACTTTGGTTTACCTAAGTTTAATTTTCTACTGTACTGTTTCTCATATTATCATCCAGTGTAGAACAGAGACCTCAGATACAAACACACAGACCTCAACAACTTTTATAAATACACAATGTGTTGTGCGACATTTTCCTTTTCTATTTGTTGTTTTATATCCTAGGCATGTAGCAGGCCTAAATGCAGGCAGGGCGCGGAGTATTGCAGAGTGGAGAGAGCAGAATGGTCCCTTCGCCAACAGGGAGCAGCTCAAACTGGTCAAAGGCATGGGGCCCAAGACCTACCAGCAGTGTGCTGGCTTCATTAGAATCAACCCACAAACCCTACACAGGTACACACGCATATGCACCTTCTGTGTAGAGATACATGCACAGGCACATGGGGTTGACTCAGATTCTGTTTCACTTTGCTGTCTTACCTGTTTCTCATGAAATAGGTAAGACAAATTGCAAAAAAAAAAAAAAAAATCCTCACTTACTTTTAGGGGAGTATAGCCAGACAGGTGCCTTTGGTTTACTTTGCAGAGGTTTTGAGAATTACATCTCTGAGATTTTCTCTGTTTAATTTTGTTTGTGGTGCTCAAAGCATTAGGAGTGACATTACACAAATCCAGAAGCAACATCATGCTCAAGGTTCAACTTCATTGTCATTATATACTATGGAATTGCACAAGGAGAAGCGGCCCATGTTACACACAAAAATGGTGAATATGAGACAAATAAACTAAGATAAATTACAGTGTGCATAATATGAATATAAACTTGTAGTGCAAAGAAATTAGTTTACAGTGATATGGTGATGTGCAAAAGAACAAAAAACATGACAGAATAGCACAGAACAAACTTCACAGATGCAGTGAAAGTATTTTTCGTCGAATGTAAATAACATGTTTGTCATGTAGGGCAGAGATAGGTGAGAAGCAGGGCTTGATATTGGTACTTGATACCTTTTAAGGCATTGAATGAAACAATGTAGTGCCAAGTGGTATCAAACTCCTTCAGTCGAACGATACCTGCATTTAATTCTTTCTGTACCAAGTAACTTAAGTAACTTTTTTGACTAGTGAATGTTCATATTTAACCAGCCACTCAATAGATAACCACTGTTTTTGGGCCGGTGAGTGAAGCAAATCTACCTGCAACATGCATATTTTACCACTATTTCGGTGGGTAGTCGATGGTGCCGATTTGTGACCAGCCCAGATCTAGAGAAAAAAAGATTACTTATATAGTTTTGCTCTCAGCCAATCAGCACAAGTGTTCCTCAGATTTAAGTGATGTGTGATTGGCACGCTACCACAGCTATAACCAGCTACACTCTGTGGTAAGGTGAAGTCTAGCGTGATGTATTTGACAGTTGGCAATTCAGCATGCTGTTCAAAAGTATGGCCATGCTACATGCCTGCTGGCATTTTATGCAACTGAATGCTTCCATTTGCATAATGAGTATCAAATGAAGTAGAAAAAATAGCAAATTAAGTACTCTATTCATATTAGTATCACTTTAAGGGTACAGGTATTAGTATCTGTACCTTCATTTTTAAACGATACCCAGACCGAGTGAGAGGAGTTGCTGCGTCATGGTGGTGTAAGGAAGATGAGGTAGAGTACAGGAGGAGTCAATACACTGCTTCAGTAAAAAGTATTGAACTGAAATAGTACAGACACAGGTTTAAAGTGTATGTGGATAATCCAGAATAACACCTGTTTCTAGAAAGACACTTATAATGCTGTGAGTGGTGCAAACAAAATTAATTAACTTCTATTATACCGAAGTGGATGCAGGAATCTCCGAGGCAGACAAATATAAAACTTAAACCACCTGCGTGACTAGATACAACTAGAGGTAATTGAGAAAGTATGTTTCTTGTAATTTGGTGAATCAGCCCTTTGATGCAAAGCTGTGTTTGGATATGAAGGTTTCCTAAGACTTCCTCATAAATTTAAAATACTTTTCATAATTGTTCAAATAGTGCCAAATCCTCACCTCACCCTGCACCAGAGAAACCAACAGCAAAGAAGAGCAAAGGAAAGGCTGGTGTCAACATACCAACCTCATTTAACCCCCTGGACCAGACCTGTATACACCCTGAGTCCTACCACATTGCACAGAGGTACAGTACACACAAACACACACACACTTTTAAAGCAGTCTACCCCACTGGCCAAGGCATGTTCAGGCTAAGATGGAGTTGATTTTGACACCGTCTCATATGGGGCTGGTTATAGTGGTGGAGGACTCTGATTTGATTTACACAGACATGGGATACAAGAGAGGAGGCGTTGGCTTTGTACGTGTGTGACTGTGTCTGTGTGTGTGTCCTCGTGTGAGAAATGATTGTTAGCGCTGCCGATGCTGATATCAAAAGCACATTGAACATCTGCCCAAGACTTGTATGTCCTGTCCTTGTGTGGTGTGTGTGTGTGTGTGTGTGTGTGTGCGTGCGTGCTTGTGTGTGTGTGTGTGTGTGTGTGTGTGCGTGCGAGAGAGAGAGGCACAAACACACACACACACACACACACACACACACGAGGGAGGGCCCTCTCTCCTACAGCTGTAGTCACTCAACTGTGTTTAGTCTACATAAGTTCTGACACTAGTGGCTCTAAGCATCGCTCCCCTCATGTTGATGCGCCTTTAATGGCCTCCGTGCATGTGTGTGGGTGGATGCGTCTCCGTGCGCACATGTGTGAAGATAGAAGATTCATGCCGCTTGTATGAAACTGTGTTTTTGCTTATCTTTCCTACTTCAACAAAGTGACCATGCCTGTTTGTGGGATCATGTGTCTGTTTTCAGCAGAGACTGTATTGTACAGTATATCAAAGAGCTGTTGGGGGGCAGACGTTCAAAAGGACAAATGACAGCCTCCCTCTATTATAATACACCCATCATTCCTTTCTCGGGCAGACACTTTTCTTTTTCCATCCATCCATCCATCCATCCATCTCTCTTTCACTCTGTCTGTCTTTCTCAGTAGTGTTTATTATCACAGCACAGTAAGGTGCCCAAATGCTGCTGTTGTCACGAGGCCCTCTTAAACGTCAGTCATCATTACTCACACCTGGCAGAGTGTGTTTGTGTGTGTGTGTGTGTGTATTCTTGTGTTGTCATATATTTGTATTTCAATTTGTATGTCTTTTTCTATCAGTCAGGGCTAAAAGAAAACTCATTACTTCATCAGCTGATGAGTCTGTATTTAAGAAAATTACTTTAAACTATAAACAGTAGGTGATTTATTAATTTTTTGCATGGTGTCACAATGTTTATTGGAGTGCACAGATTTTATTACCTGAGCGGCATCATGTGAGATGATAAAGGCTAGAAATGCTGCACCAATTAAAATAGAAACACTATTTAAATTTAAGATTCTCAGTAATTTATAGGTTATAGGTCCAGGTCCAGATCCAGGACAGCATCTGGACCTGGACTAGGGTACGCTTATCGGTAACCCCTGGGGGATGGAGAGAGATGGCAGGTTAACAAGGGGGATGCATTGGTCATGTTGCGAACAAAGTGGGTTGCATCCTATTCCACCTCAAATTGCCTACTCACTAAAAAATTTGACAGTTTAAATCCATTTTCTTTCTTCTTGAAAAAGTCTTAATCTCACATTCAGTTTTAGTGTCAAGAAATGCCTGAACATGTGACCTGTATGAACATGTACCTAAACCCTAGATCTGTTTAGCATCTTCGTCTCATCAAAGAGCTCTCAGACAGTACTTTCATTTAGGCGGGGTTGTTACTGGTAATGGTCACATCACTGCTCCATTGAGCTCTCGCTGTATTTCCCTTTTCACTGATGATGCAGAGGAACATCTGACTGATCGTCCACAGGAAAAAGTTTGCGAAAAAGAACAGATTGGAGTGTTGAGAGTGTCTGTTGCAATCAAAGGTAGAGGTTTTGTGCATTGACTCTTAAAAGAGGAAGAGTGACAGCTCTCTCTTGACCAATCAGGAGACTGCAGTGTTCCTAGCTCCACTTTACAGTATCGGATCTGTGTGCTAACTGGCCCAACAGAGGGGTGACGAAACAACGGGATGGAATGGAGTGGCTCTGTTGGTACGATCCACAATTTCTGACAATGGAAACACAAAAATAACTCTTTCACTGTGTAATGAACTGGACTGAACTGGACTGCTTGGTGAACATGACGCTAATGACTGCTGTATTTGTACATTACATATCCTGCATGTAGCAAAGTTGGTGCTAGTACGTTGTAGAAAACCACCAGTCTGCTGTGCATCTGTCTTTCGTGGCCGCTTGTGTTTTTTCTCTCTATCATTAAATCTTTCTCTTGTTTCTCAATAGTCTACTTATCATTCTTTGTTTTCCCTTTTCCCTGCTGTGCATGACTCCTAACCCTGTGTTAGCATATGTTGTATTCTTTGTTATGACTATCCAGTAATCCTTGTCCGGCATTTGACTCAATTCAGTGCAAATTAATTTCTCACCTGCTGTCACATATATTATGCAATGGCCTCGATGGCCTCAGTCTCACAAACTCTTGCAGAATTTGGGAACCAGATTTGCTTTCCCATAGTGTGTCTTGTGGTTTTACAATGTGCCACTTCTGAGGTCTGATGACAATACTGGAAAAGCCATGTCAGCAGTTGCTCTTCCTTAGAATTTAGACAACCTGATGACATGAAAAAAAATCCCCGTCTTCCACTGAACATTCAATCTCATAGTATGTCACTCCTTTGCAAAATCAACCTATCGAACAAGGTGGGTGTTTAGTTGAGACTGATTCGGCTGTCTCTTCACATAAGCCCTCAACATTACAGTTGTAATCTTAGACTTTGATTTGTGTGTTTGAAAAAATATTGCTGTCTTGGTGAATTTTATCGTCATTCATCGAAAATTATCATTTAATTCAGAATTAAAATAAGTAATTACATTGACTTTAACAGTGCATGACTTTTCCTAACTTTGAGTTTTGGTTTCATGTCAGCAAAGATGTTTGTTTTTTTTTTGTTTTGTTTTTTTTTTTGTTAGATTCAACTTTACATTTTGTTAATCTTATTTTGAAATTCTTTGGAAAATGCTCTCCTTTACAATCACTAATTAGTATACTGGGATACATTTAAACCCCTGAATGAATATCTTACACTGTGTAGAGCTTTAGATGCCTCGATTCTCTTCTCACATCCTCACCTACAGTCAGGTCCATAATTATTTGGACAATGATACAGTTGTCGTCATTTTGGCTCTGTACACCACCACAATGGGTTTTAAATGAAACAATGAATACCTGCTTAAAGTGCAGACTCTCAGCTTTCATTTAAGGCTTTTTTCAAAAATGTAGTATGAACCGTGTAGGAATTACAACCATTTCTTCACACAGTCCCCCGACTTTAAGGGCTCATAAGTATTTGGACAAACTAACATAATCATCAATTAAACAGTCAGTTTTAATACTTGGTTGCAAATCCTTTACAGTCAATGACTGCCTGAAGTGTTGGACACATAGGCATCATCAGATGCTGGGTTTCTTCCCTGGTGATGCTCTGCCAGCCCTTTACTGCAGCCGTCTGCACTTCCTGCTTGTGTTTTGGGTGTTTTGCCCTCAGTTTTGGCTTCAGCAAGAGAAACGCATGCTCAGTTGGATTCAGGTCAGATGATATGACTTGGCCATTGCAGAACATTCCACTTCTTTGCCTTAAAAATGTCTTTGGTTGCTTTTGCAGTATGCTTCAGGTCAATGTCCATCTGCACTGTGAAGCATCGTCCAATGAGTTTTGAAGCATTTGGTTGAATCTGAGCAGATAATGGTGCCCCAAACACTTCAGCTTTCATCCTGCTGCTCTTGTAAGCAAGACAAGACTTCACTAGAATAAATACAGAGGGTTTATCACAAGATGCAAACCATTGGTTAGCCTTAAAAATGGAAGGCCAGATTAGAGTTTGTCAAAAACCATCTAAAAAGCCTGTACAGTTGTGGAACAGCATACTATGGACAGATAAAACAAAGATCAACTACCAGAATGATGGGAAGACAAGAGAAGGAAGAAGGGAAGGAACTGCTCATGATCCAAAGCACACCACCTCATCAGTGAAGCATGGTGGAGGTACTGTTATGTCATGGCCATGTATGGCTGCCAGTGGAACTGGTTCTCTTGTATTTATTGATGATGTGACTGCTGACAAGAGCAGCAGGATGAAAGCTGAAGTGTTTGGGGCACCATTATCTGCTCAGATTCAACCAAATGCTTCAAAACTCATTGGACGATGCTTCACAGTGCAGATGGACATTGACCTGAAGCATACTGCAAAAGCAACCAAAGACATTTTTAAGGCAAAGAAGTGGAATGTTCTGCAATGGCCAAGTCATATCATCTGACCTGAATCCAACTGAGCATGCGTTTCTCTTGCTGAAGCCAAAACTGAGGGCAAAACACCCAAAACACAAGCAGGAAGTGCAGACGGCTGCAGTAAAGGGCTGGCAGAGCATCACCAGGGAAGAAACCCAGCATCTGATGATGCCTATGTGTCCAACACTTCAGGCAGTCATTGACTGTAAAGGATTTGCAACCAAGTATTAAAACTGACTGTTTAATTGATGATTATGTTAGTTTGTCCAAATACTTATGAGCCCTTAAAGTCGGGGGACTGTGTGAAGAAATGGTTGTAATTCCTACACGGTTCATACTACATTTTTGAAAAAAGCCTTAAATGAAAGCTGAGAGTCTGCACTTTAAGCAGGTATTCATTGTTTCATTTAAAACCCATTGTGGTGGTGTACAGAGCCAAAATGACGACAACTGTATCATTGTCCAAATAATTATGGACCTGACTGTACATCTGATGGGAGCAGGAGGTATGGAGGGAGGTTTGTGGAGGAATGCTGTTTGTGTGTGTGTGTGTGTGTGTGTGTGTGTGTGTGTCTTTATGGCGTATAAGGAATATCATGTTCATCACATTAGTGAAACTGGATCGTCCATTACAACTCACAACCCACACATCACCCCCTTTATGTAACCATATAACACACACACACACACACACACACACAAACAAACACACAACCACAAATGCACAGACACCATTGTTTTAGAAATAGTTGAAAAGCAAATATTGAAAGGCAACTTACCTGTAAAGAATATTAATATTCAACTTTTGTGGATCTACTCCATTACAATAATTCACATCAAAATATCAAAGAAGCATTTTGTTGTTAAACAGCTGGCTCCAGTCCATGAAATATATACTCTGATATGAGACAGAGGGGGTCCACTCTCTGATGAATACCTCTCTGATATGTAACAGTCGGGGCCCAATATTTCTATAATACAAGACAGAGTGGGTTCTTGCTGTGGGCCTGGATAAAATCTATATCCCAGCCCACCCAACCCCACATTCACACATACACACACACAGTGTTGGTAGTAATTATATGAGTATGAACCCAACAGTGGTGGAGGCCTCTGGACTCCTGATACCCCTTAAATACTAACATACACCCATGGAAAAATGAGACGGGTAACACACACACACACACACACACACCTGAAAGAGTCTACCACCCACCAAAACCATTGTAGGATCTACAGCTAGAATACAGGCTGCTCTTAATTCAACACCGCTTTCACTCCTTCAACCCTCTCCTCTCCCTTTATCATTATATCTTGGATATTTTGTCATTCACATGTTTAAGGGATGCACCTATGTTTTATCTGGAAACTGATAATCTGCACTAGGTGTGGGGAAAAAATCGATTCACTTAAGTATCTCAATTTTTAGTCTTATGATTTTTTTAGATTATTTTTTAATGCCTGAATTGATAGAATTCAAATGGGGAGATGGAAAGAAATTACCGCTTTTGTTGTGGAATCTATAAGCAATGGGACTATCTGTTCTATCCTTTTCAAGAAACACAAAGTCAAAGCAAGAAAGCAGAAAATAATGGCCAGTCCAAGGATACTGACCTTGAGCTGCTCATATAGCAAAGCGAATTCAGCCAGTGCAAACTCTCTGCTTGATAGACAAACTTTCTGTTGCTGTGGTTACACAGATTAGACCCAACCCAATGTGAACCCCGGTGCTGGGGTTTGCGTTGGCTGAATTTGAGTTGCTACGACTGCTAGAGCTTCGGCCTGCTCTCCTGACAAATAGTCTCCTCACAATGAGGAGAAACGTAGGGACCATGGTGTGGCAATTCTTGTCTCATTTATGATCTGATAAGCACAGAGAGAAAGTGCGGGGCAAGGGGCTGAGCAAATCAATGTGCTGTGTACAGCTCTACAATAGCACAAGATTAACCCATTTTAAATACTAAAAAGGATAGAATATCTTTCTCAGAGCAAGTTCACACAGTGCTTCACTGAATAAAATTGTTAAAAACAAGACCATAAAATAGTTTTAGTTTATCTACCTATTTTCTATTCAGTATATGATGCTGTTAAAATAAGTCAGAAAGACTGAGTGACATGTGATGTGCATTATTTTTGGAAATATGCTTAATGGTATATAATTTCTGGAAGTGTGTGATTCAACATTTTCCCCTTGTCTAGTGTTAAAAAAAGTAAACCAAAATCGCAATAAATTGTGTTATCGAATTGCAATACTTGTGGAATTGCAGTACTTAAAAATTGCACATCGCATCAGCACTCCGGTGTCGTGATAGTATCAAATCGAAAAACTCTTGTTGCAAAGAAACATTCAGAGCTGCAGGCATGTAGGCGTACTTGCTTGGTGTCAGCACATCTGATATATATATGCTAATAATCAGTCAATGAGCACATCAAACCTTGGGTATCATACAGGTAACCGCAGCACCAGCAAGTGTAGCATCAGTGTTGCTTGTCATCAAGCTGACATTTGCAGTGGAAGATGGTTCTGGTTGCTCTTCAGAGTGGCTGAGACCTTTTTCTTTTTGAAATATCTGTATCCTGACCATGAAACACGGATATTAATACTGGTGATTCAGCGCGCAGATTGAGTGGGACTGAGAAAGTGTTTTTTTTTTTTTCTGATTTTTGTGTTATAGTGAGTGGAGTTTATGATATTGCACCACTATGCTTCGATGATAATGGCAAAATAGCATCCATGCTGTTATCTTTATTAATGTGAATAAGCGTTGAATCACCCTCATGCATGAATCATACATCAATAATAGCCTAATTTTATGCATGATCCATGATGATGAGGATGCACAAACACAGATAGAAAAAACAGACAATGCATGGCAAAACTAGCATATTGTCAATCCTTTAGAGACTTCCCAAAATTTCACAAATCATGTTTTCCAGTGAATTCATGTCTTATTAAGGTTGAGCCAAGCTTCCCTGTAGTTTACACCCTGTTTTGAGAACTTCTACAGATTTAGACACAGGAAGAAAGAAAGACAGGAAATACTGTGTGTAAGAGAGAGAAAGAGGGATGACCTACAGCAAAGGTCCCAGGCTGGATTCAAACCATGGGGGCTATGTGGTATCCATGTTAGACCACTAGGCAACCAAGACGCAAGTATTTCTTTTCCTGTAAAAAGATATATGGTTGGAAAGTTAAGAAGCCTAGGGAGACGCAGGAGACAAGATCCTAGTGTTAGACAGGCATCCATTTTGGTCCAAAGGTGCTGTTTCCTCACCACTAAGCCATTTCTGGCACATGCTCAGCTACTATTTTGTACCGATCTGGCCCACTGGTGTTGAGGGATTGATTCCGCTTGTCTCCCTCTTTTGGACGGCAGACGGCGACTTAGCTGGCAGGGGCCTCTCCGCTCACAGCTGTCTCATACATAGTTTGTACACAAGCCGTGTCCCGTTACATCCGCACTGTCTCTGCTACTGCCAAATGAGCATTTCTGAACAACATTGTGTATGAATCAACTTTGTGTATGTGTGTGTGTGTGTGTGTGTGTGTGTGTTTTAATATGTGTGTGTCCACCTGTTCTGTCCATCATGGGGCAGGGGGACAGCTGCGGAGTCTGTTCGGCGTCAGGCTGCCAGTGAGCGACATCCATCACGGACGCTACCCAGCTGGTCCGCACATGAGCACATGCATAGAGGCAAATGCATTCACATCTATCACCAGCCGGGGAAAGTGCCTACTGTAAATAATATATACAGTACGCACAACACTCACACAGACACACACATCACACATTTTTCCATAACCCCTATTTGCTACTCTGGATCTCATGCCAGTTTGTTACTAAGTCTGTTTTGAATGTAGTCGAGCTAATTGCTTTGGATTTAAATCTCGGGCTCAGTGAGTTTTAAATGGTGCAACTTGACTGACTGTCTAGACATTTTGGAGGTGGGACATCCTGCTAGAATAAAGTGATAGAAGGAGATTTTTCCAGGCTGCGGACAGATGGACAAACAGTCCAACCTTAGCAAAGTGGAGGCAGTTTCATGAGACAAGGTGTCAGGGCGTTTACAGCCCACTGTGGAGTTACCTGATTTAATAGGGGGTAAAATAAATGTGTATTTGTGCTTGTGTGTGCTTTTAAAACAGAAAGCCCTGCCTCGGCAGCCCGTGACTTTATGTGTAATTACTTCCACACCTTTCCTGCCCTCCCACCTTTCCCCCCCAGTTCCCTCTCACTTTACCTGCATTAGCTTAGCGTTTCTCTCCCTGCTTCCTACGTCTTTGCTTTTCTCATCTTTTGTTTCTCTTCTTTTTGACAGTTCTACTTTTCTTTTCCTAATCATTCTTCCCAGTCTGTCGTCACTTTCCCCCCTCCTCCCGTCCCTTCCTTTTTCCTGCACTGTTTCTCCATCCCTCATCGGTCCAGGTCTATCCTTCAGTTTGCAAGGGAGGTGGTGCATGTGCTTTTGCCAAACTAGCATCACTCACTATTAAAATCAATTTATAAACTCTTTGTTTCTTGCTGGCCACTTCATGAACGTGTGTGTGCATGCCTTAACACACAACAGTGCTTAAGTTTGTTTATTTGCTGTCATTTCTTTGTAGTTTTAGAAGTTTATGTTTCACCCTCCTTACTCCTGTCCAGGTTTCTGTCCCTCGTGGGTGGGAGTGCAGACCAGATCGGAAGTGCAGGCCTGCGACAGTGTGTGGAGAGCAAGGTTAGGACTAGTAGTGTTGAGGAACTGGCCAGGACGCTGGACACCACACCTGAGACCCTCCAACTCATCATAGACGGCCTCACGCAGCCCCCTGGGTTTGACATACGACAAAGTAAGACTCCTGCCACTCACAGTCACACTAAAATAAGATGGAATTTGTTCTTGTGCAAAACCTCGATTAGCAGCATGGTTGAAATTGTGGAGGAACACAAGCCTGACAAGCCAAAATACAAAGTGTATCTATAGGCAAAAATTTCCAAGAGGAAAAAATACAGCATTAAACTTAATATTTACACTTTTTTTTTTTTTTAAATGGTTTGATATTTCATAATTTTAGAGGAACTGAACTATTGCTTATAGCATTTATGGCCATTACACTCCCTTTACACAGCACATTTATCAGTTAATAGGAAATCCAATTCCTGCAAAACCACATTAAACTGCAGATCTGGTATTATAACATATCATTTTTTGTGCAAAAATCTTGTCACTGGACACAAAGCTATCATTGTTTTGAGTCATATAAAAATTCACAGACTGCATATATCAACCTAGCAGTCGCAGTAATGTCTCATAGTCTCATCTTTCCTTCTTAATGTCCTTTATTGGTCCCGACTGACTGATAGAAAGTTGAACTTATATGTATTTGTCCAGTTCTTTGACTGCTTTGCGAGTTACACCACACACTGTCTTTTCTTGTGCCTTTATTATAATAGGCATGTCTTGGCAGAGTAACTTGATAGGATCTGACAGTGCTGTGGCTTCCTCCCTGTAGCCCAACAACCCAAGTAGTATGTTTCTGACAGGGTGTGATGGGTCCAGCAGACTGTGCTGTTGGACACAATATCTTTACACACACATATGCACAAATACACAAAGACCTCTGCTTTTGTAGTTAATGTCAAACTCTTGTGTTCAGCCACATAAACATACCAGTCAGGTTCTAAACAGTCACAAACTTTCAGATTTTCATCAATTTTTCTGCAGCTCAAATGAATTTTCTTTAGAAAAATGTACGTCACATCTCAGTCTCACTTTTTTTGTTCATTTTCTGGTCTATATATTTTTTTAAAAGGACTTAGCTGTATTGAAAATAAATCGAATGTATGTTAGATACAAGCTTATTCGGTGCTAAAGAGGAATATAAGTAAAAGTCTCTTTGCTTTAAATTCTCATTTAGGCCATAATGGGGCCATGTGTAAAGGAACAGTCTTTGTTCTCTTGAGACTGTCGGACATATACGAAGACACTGCGAGCTGGTATTTTGAAGATAGTACCGGCTATTTGAAATGAAAACAAAAGCGAGAAAAATTACTGACTAAAAGTATAGTTGCTATTATTGTGTGTGTCTACTTGTGCCACGCCCACTAATTGTGGAAACATGATTTTAATAATGATCATTTTTGTAAAATGAATTGGTCAGTTGGCCTTCTCTGGCACAGTAAAGACATCAGACAAGACTATTTGGTCGTCCTTATGCAAAACGAATGAAAGTGCAAACATAAATGAATCTGGGTTTATAAAATGCTTTCACAACTGCTGTCTGATTTCCAGACTGGTGTGTTAAATACAAAATCACCTCTGTGCCTTAGTACCAGGCACTCTTTTCATACAGTTTCATGCAGAGGGAAAAAAAAGTCAAGCCTGGATACCCAGTTGGTGCTGGCTAACTCTTCTTAAAATTAAGGAACGCAGCTTCAAGGTTCATTCTCAGGTTGGCCCTATTCGGTTGCAGCACACTATGCTTGGCCTCCTAGCCAGTGCTCAGCTGAGTAAACAGATGGGCCGAGGCTACCGCATGAAATCAGTGCTGTGGGGAGGATAATTGGACCGGACTATTTCCTGGGGTGCGAGCCTTCCTTGTTTGTGTTAATGCTACAGAAAGGAAAAAAGATCTCTCATGGACAGGCCAAGTGGAAAGTGGGGTAGAGTAGAATGCTGAGAAATGTGGAAGTATGTAGACACAAGTATTGGGTTGCTGCTTGAAATGTAATATCTGTTTGTCATTTGTGCCCCGCCCCCTCGCTTTCCTGCATCCCCATTCCCCCATCTCTCCTCCCAAGCATTTGTGCTATCTACCACCCATCCCTGATTTTGTCCCTCTCCCTCACATCCATCCAGCCACCTCACTTTTTTTGATATTCTCTCTCTTGATCTCTTTTTTGCCATCCCCAGATTTTGGGCAGGCGGACTTTAAGCGGGGCATTGTGTCGATGAGTGATCTGCGGGTGGGTACGGTGCTGACGGGCCGCGTGGACAACACAACTCTGTTCGGGGCTTTTGTAGATATCGGTGTTGGCCGCGCAGGCCTCATCCACAAGAGCAACATCACCCTGGACAAACTGCCTGTCAGCCAGCGCCGCCGCAGCCTGGCGCTGGGACCTGGGGAACGGGTGGAGGTCCGGGTCCTGAATGTGGACCTTCAGAGGGGACGGATTGGGCTGGACCTGATCAGGGTCCTGCAATAGTCATTTCATTCCCATTCATTTCAGTCATTTCAGAGCTACTGAGAGGCAATTTACTTCATGATGTTTACAGTGATTGTGGACGAGAATTGATGCTGAACGAGTCATTTTAACAGGCAACCTGTTGAGTGTATTTATAGGAATTGCCCTTTACTGCAAATTTAGTAGCACACATTCAACCAATGTTTGCTTTATATGTGAGGGCTTGCAATTTTAAAGTGCAATTCCTGCATTTTTTTCTGCATAAATGTTGAAGTTAAAAGAGTGCTTGATAGTTCAGCTGTGAACAGCTGTTACAAGTCCAGTGAAATCAAGCCAAACTTTCTCACAGTCAAGTTAATGGCTGGGAGACTTTCTTTCCCCTGAAGTCATTTTCTCAGGTCATACTTTTTCTCAGCCTGTTTGAGTATCGTTGGGAATGGTACTTTGGAATGAACACTAAACCTGGTCGCCTAATTCAAGGCAAAAATGTCCATTTTTGTCTGTCAACTTCCTGGCTCGCTCTCTGCACACACTGCCGTCTACTGGTCATTAGAGAAGATGGGACAGCTCATTGAGATGGCGCCCACACGTACTATTTGCACTTTAGCAGTAGACCATTTCATACTTGAGCTGCAGTTGTTCATTTTCTATGAATATAATCTACTTAAATATTGTTTACATACTTAAATAAATTCAACTCTCTCAATACTTGTTTGTTTATTTTTGTTATTCCAAGCTGACTTTGTTTACTGCATTTGTGGACATTTGAAGACCAATTGAAGGACTCGATGTGTAATCTTGAATAGATTTCACATTGTGAAAAGATGGTAAATGGACTGCACTTGTCTTGCGCCTCTCTAGTCTCCTGACCACTCAAAGTGCTTTTTTTTTACACTATGATTCACCTTCACCCATTCACATGCACATTCATGCACTGGTGGCTGAGGCATGCAGGGTGCCACCTGCTACTCAGTTTTAACACACTTATGCGCCTATGGAACAGCAACTGGGAGCATATTGGGGTTCAATATCTTGCTCAAGGATGCTTCGACATGTGGACTGGAGCAATCATGCCACTGATCTTTTGTTTGGTGGATGAAGTGCTCTGTCTCTGAACCACAGCCACCCCTGGCTTTATCTGCAGATGAGGTTTTGACATTGTACTCTTGATGCGTATTTTCTGAAAATAAGGAATTCAGCAAATGATGCGCTCACTGGAGAGTAGGGGCGTGGATGAGAAAGGAAAAGAGGGAGAAGTGGGGAGTTAAGAAAGGTGGGTGAGATAGAGGAGCGGATGTGTTGAGTGATGGAAAGAGGAAAGAAGACACCAGTTAAAAACAAGTTTCTCTTTGAGAAAACAGGAAAATATGAAAAGACAGAATGAGTGGGATGGGAGGGGGGGGATGGGCGGAGGCGGGATGGGAGGAGGAGGAGGAGGGAGTGTTTCTATCTCCCAGACTGCAGTAAAGCCTGAAGGCTTTTTAGGCATGGTCCCAGACACAATTATCCCAGGACACACACACAAACACACACTAATCAGCTGCTTCAAAATTAATCCCAGACTCCCCATCCACATTATCTAATTTGTTTGTTTTTATGAAACTGGAATAAATAAAAAAAAAATACATAAAATATGGTTCTGAGAGAGCCTGAGGTCCCCTGTGTTAAACCTTATACTGAATGCAGAATACCTAATCACTGTTAGTGCCGCAGCTTCACTATCTCCCCTTTGGGGAACAAATGGAATATATTCTAGACACACAAACACAAAGAGATGTTCAATCAAGGTTAATCAGAAGTGTCAGTTTGCTCAGTGATGATCTGAGGAAACTATACACACCCATACAGACTCATTTCACATACTGTATTTCATTGCACACTCATCTTTCAGAAGGGATTCCATTTTCTAATCAAGGTGCCTCATTTTATTTGACGTTAATTCCCTTTGTCATGTTGTTGTCTTGTGTTTGTTTTGATCCCATATACTGTGGCTTGGCGTGGTCTCGTGTTTCAGTTTTTCCAATGTTTTTGTCTTGGAGATCACATGTATCCGTACAAGTACACACAGCTTCCCTCAGCATCATTCCTGCTTTTCCCGCCTTTAATTTTCCTCCCTCTGCTAAACGTGAGCACAAAGATGGGACAGGCAATCTGGCAGCCAGCTTCTGCTGCTCCTCTGAGTTTTTGTCAAACGCTCACCAGTAATGAGCTGGTGATAAGAAGAAGAGTGACTGCGGGAGTAGTTGTGTAGTTCTCTGTTATCCTCTGCTGCACTGGTTCAAAGCTGTTGTGTTATGGAGTGAGCTCAGGTGTGCCTTGAGGTTTTGGTGAAATGTGGAGAAAATTGATGGTGAGCTGTTTGTTGTTTCATAAGTCCTGGTTTATTAAAAGTCGAGTTAACAAAGAAAAATATCTCGGGTGGTCATGCAGGGCTCTCTTTCCTCATCTTTTGTTGAAGATCCAGCCATGGAGACACAGGTGGACACAAAATCATGTTAACTTTCCTCACTCAGTAGCAGAGAGAATGTTTCTCACTGCTAGTGAATGCATCCTGCTAAGCCAACATCGGGTAGAGAATATAGTTGTCTCTGTCGATCTCTGATTTCTGAGACCACCTGTCAAAAAACACAAGTGGAAGTCTAAAGTGCTGCGAACAAGCAGGTCTTATTACAACCAGTCATACAAGTCAGTGGTGGACAGGCAAAAGCTATATTGATTATTTTGCTGTGTAATGTAAAATAGCAAAATAAACTTTTCCCTGATGTTGGTTTAAAAGCAAAACCCATGGGGGCAATAAAAATAGAAAGATGATCTGTTTTAATATTTTGAGATGTTTGTTTCAAGTGTCATTATCACAGCCAAGTGGCAACCTCTTGGGCTGCAAAATGAAGCCAACCCAGAGAGGTTTGAGTGACCACTTGAGGCTGGCTCCAAGAGCGAGTCAATCCCCATAGACCCCCATGTTAAAATGCCATTACAATACAGCAGAAATAAATATGTTTAAAGCCTTGTACAAAAAACAGTTTTGGTCTCTATGGCGTATTTCCTCGTTCATGACAACTATACAGGTGAAATGTTTATATAATATTTATAATCACTATACTGTTTGTTTACAAGTAGCTACCACAGCGACCGTGTCAGTTAGATAACATTACTATGGCATAACCCCAGATCAACGAAGTGTAGGCGCTGTCACTATTTAAGTGTTTTTCGTTCATAAAAGTTAATTGCAACATTTAAGTCGTCTAAAAAAGTCTTGCTCAGTGTTTAATTGTACTAATAACCCTCTAAGGAGTTAGATATTAAGTTGGATGTTAAGATTTTTAAGTTTTGTTTTATTGGTTTTAAGCCTGTTTTTTGCCAGCAAACATTTTCATTAGCATTACCACAGTAGCTGTAAATGCACTGTGCTAACCAAGATAGCAGCTAGTGCTAGAGTTATCACAGCCATCGAGCAAATGTTGTCACTTCTGGCTCCATGAATTCAGTGGCAACAGCAAAATACCAAACTTGAGGCTTCAAAACAGGAGTCCACAAATCAGTAGGTGATGTCATGGCTGCTACGTCCATTATTTATTTTGTCTATGTCCACAGCCAAGCTCTTACACATCTAAGGAGGTATGTGAATACTGGAGCAGATGTAAAAGAAAAAACGTTAAGTCAGTCAGTTTGGCAGCTTTAGTGTCACAGTATTAATGTTTTTTTCTAAAGGCAGAACATACAAAATCTTTGGACATTTGTAGTGGACATTCATGAGTCACAACAATATAAGTCTGATATTAAATGTTGAATGTACCTTTATGTATCTGTACTCTACCTCAAGAGATAACTGTACAGCTGCACAGGTAATCAGCAATACCATGAATAGGCTAAATTTAAAGCACCTGCTATGTAAAAGTAAAGTAAGGGGATATTACTGTCCCCCTCTCGTCACAGTCTCCACTCCTCAGGCACTTGTGCTGCGAACAGTATCCTGTCTTATTCCTTTGTGTTGTTCCTTGGCCATGATCGCCTCAGTGTGATTGCAATGGTTAGTGCTGGTTTCTCCTTCCAACAGAAAATAACTGCAGGTTAGCGGTGTGACCACTGACATCAATACACTCTCCCTCTGGCTACAGATGTAAGTTTTGTGAGAAAACCCATTCTCTGTGGTCTACACACATTTATACTGACAGTATTACCAAAGATTGTACTCACATGTTGACTCACAACCGCTGGCGATACACTCAAATCGCCATTTCACTTTGCCGAAAACCCACTGTTTAGCAAACTCTCCTCCCTGTCGCCTCCATGAATTGTGGCCTTGCAGAACAGTAAGCTGCGACCAACTCACTATTGACTCTCAAAAACCTTGTGTGTATACTTCTAACATAAAGTTTGAAATACAAAAATACGTTTAGATTTCAGAACAGTGTCTTCTTTGATAGTCTTTACTTTTGTCAGTCGTTGGAAGTTTTGATTGTGGCTGTATTCCTACTTGCCAAACTTTAGGTGGTTCCAACTTCTTCTTATATACTTTTCTTTGTCTTACATGATTAGAAGCTGAATATTTTTAGGTATTAGACTGTGGTTTAACACCTTGAGTTTTAGGTATTTTCACTATTTTATGACACTTCACAGATCAAAAAATGAATCTAGAAAATAATTGCTGGGTTATTTGATATTGAAAGTATTATTTGCTGCTGTAGTTTGTTTACTTGCTTCTGTATTTTAAACAAAGACAATCATATCACTCATACACTAACACCAGAGCAAAGAGAGAGGAGTTTTGAGAGAGGGGTGTTCTGTCCCACGTGTTAACGCTGAAGCAAACATCACTCACGTCTAAAAAACACTCTCTTATTCTTGTTTTCCAGTGTTGGGTGACACACACTGAAAAATTCCAGATAGGCAGAGGGTGAGAAAGACTTTGACTTTTGGCATCGGTGGTGAAAAACAGGAGTGAAGTATAGGCAGGAAGGTGGAGGAGAGATGGATGAATGGAGGTAGGAGAGAGGGATGGAATGAGACAGGAAATGAAAGGCTTTCTCCGGTTTCACTCCCCGTGACCTCATCAGTGTGATCATGGGTTTTATGAGCTTTCCCTCTCGACGCCCACACACCACCTCACACGTGCCAGGACACACACACACACACACACACACACACACACACACACACACATACACACACACACACACGCACACTTCAGCCCGTATATTTCATTCACTGGCGCAGAGACAAACACACAGTACATGTGTTTTTGTCTCTCTGTCTGTTCCTTTTCTCACACTCTCTCCGTCAGCCTTTCACATACTTCATCACACACCAGGACGCTCAAAGAAGCCGACACTCACTTAAGCCACTGACACACAAACACTGACAGAGAGGAGAAAATTTGTCTTTATTACTGATTATATTATGCTTTGCAGGGAAGGCAGCAGGCTCTGTGTAATGAAATAAAACCTTTTAACTAAGGAAAGCAGATAAAATATATGAAAGCCATAACATTTACATATCCCACAGCATAAACCCTCCGAGCACACAACACATATTGTAACAATACAGGTATTCCTGAGGGAGGATAATTTGGCTTTCTGAATTACACCACATTAACAGAGCTCATAAAGGTTTCTCCAGTGAGGGGAAATTTAAATGGCAGTGAATAAGTGGGCATCTAATAAGTAGCTAGCAGAACTGCACCCATCTTGAA